CCCCCCCATTTTGCAACTTACCCTCTTAAAATAAACTTTGGCTATCTTGCCTTTAACTGAGCCCATTTTAAAGCTCGTGAGGAAAAGTTATCTCAAGTGACATAAATTCTGATTTCAGGCAACCAAGCATACTCTTTTTATTTGTTTTGTTTTGTTTGGGAGCGGTATCGACTGATCACATGGCTTCACACAATAGATTACCGGTATAAATTTCGTGACAAAGATGGCGGCCGAGCTTGAGGAAACGGCGCCTCCATTTTCCCTTCATTCCATGGACAGTACTGGTTCCTCTGATAAAAATGTGGTGGAATTGGTGGCGGAAGAAGAAAAAGCGAAAGAGCATAAAGAGGTTTTTGTTTTAAGGGAAAAAAGCGGAGTAATTTACCCGAATGACTACAAATACACAGTTGGTGAGTTTTGATTCAATATTCACGTGCACTCCAGTTTCAGTGTACTTTACATGAATGACTGGAGATTCAGACGGCGCAAGTGAGAATTAAATAATCTAATTCAACCATTAAACTGTTAAAGCTTTGGACTCTTGTTACGTCTGAGCACTCAACATGGTGTGTTAGGCTTAGCTGGAAGCTTTATCTACGCTAGCTGCAATCAGTAATTAAAATGTAGAAACAACAATTTGAGACGAAAGACTGTTTAATAAGCTTTGCACGCCACATTAAGCGCTTTTCAAATTCACCTGGCCAAGCAAACTTTCATTTTTTGTTGTTCCTCTGTAGTTTGTCACTATAAACATAAATTTAGGAAACTTCAGTTCTGCTCTTTTTTTGTCATCCCCTGTTTTCTTCTTTTTTATTCGTCACTAGCATTGCATAATCTTTGGGAGGGTCGATCGTATGAAAATTATAAAAATATCTATAAACAATAGGAGACTACATTGTTGAGGAAGGAATCATGCCATGCAAGTTTTATGTTAGGGTTGATGTTTCAAGCCCAGACTCTTCCTCAAATACATGCTCCTCATAAAGCTAAAACTGGAATAAAGGCTGATAGTTTTGAAAGAAACTGTTTGGGGCTGCGTCGGTGGGAGTAACGAAATAATTTGGATATATCAACAAAGTTGAAATGGTAAATTGGCCACCGTAATGATTAGTAGCGTTAGCCCTTTGCTCCGACGAAGGGCTAACGCTCGAAACGTCAGCTTTTGTAATCATTACGGTGGCCAATTTACCATTAAAACTGGAATAGTCAGCCTTTGAAACTCTCTGTGGTGGCCAGTTTACATTTAAAACTCAGTTGAGAAACCTAAATTGGCTTGTATAGTACCCCCACTGATGCAGCACTGCAGTTTCTTTAGAAACTTTTTGCCTTTCTTCAGTCAGTTCTGTTTAGGTTTAGAATTGATACAAAAATATGGTGGTTAAATTTTGTTCTTGGTAATGAAATAGTGAAATATGTACATACTGTAGATCACTGGTATTATATATGAACTTTATAATGGTATATGATGCATGTGATCCCTATACTATGACCTGGTAATGGCCTGGCTTACTGCACAATCATTGTGGCTTAGTGACATAGAACATTAGAGAGCAGAATCTGGAGCTCTGAGGCCTTATTCCTTACTGGGACTCAGAATTGTTTTTTTTTTGGTCCCATCCTCATGACAATTTGAAAAACATGCTTCTCCAACAACACTCATCTTTATGGCAGTCAACCAAATAAAACAAGTCAACATGTGAGGCATGGGACCCTGCACATGCTGTGCTATAGAAAACCTCGCCCATCTCAGAATAAGCCAGATATATTCTTTTCAATAAGTTCATGACCGTACATGCAGGTATAAAAGGTAGAAAGAAGAGGCAGTTTACAAGCCAAGTGGCCCTTAATTAAGGCAGGTGCTTAACTCCAGTTTTTGTTGGATAAAGTCACTAGGAGTATTTCTATATTCCCCCCTGGATGGGATGCTAGTCCATTGCTGAATTACCTCAGCATTCAATTTGCCAGTACTCATTTTAACTCCTAGGTGAAGAGAGGCTCTGTGAGAGTAAAGTGTCTTGCCTAAGCAGGGCTCGACACTAACGTTCATCCACTAGCCACAGACTAGCAGAAATTCAGTTGTGGCTAGTGGTTTTCAATTTCTACTTAGCCAGTTTAGCTAGTAAATAGACTCAAATTGTCATAACATCTAAAAACATTTGTTTTAATATGTCACTAGCCACTTGGCTATTACGTTGAAAAGTTAGTGTCCAGCTCTGCTAAGAACACAATGCAATGTTCCCGGCTGAGACTCAAACCTGAACCACTCAATCTCGAATCAGACACATTAAACTCTATTGAACATTGGCAAAAGGAGTAATTTTGCTGTTTTCAGCAATAAGAAATGCTGTCAATAAATCTGTTTTGGTTAAAACTATAATATATATCTACCAATAGGCCATTTACTGTATTAAGGCCATGGAATGTGCCATGGTGTTACACCGTAGAATGTATATATTGTACCATTAAATAAGGTGTTTCTGTTTGTAGAGAAAAACAATGAAAAAAAAAAAATATATAACAGTTGTACATGTATTTTTATTTTTTTTCAGTTTTTGAATGAAAAGAATACATCAGCTGAATGAAATTAAAAGGAAAAAAGGCAGAAATAGCCTTAGTCAAATGAAAATTCAGGAATTAATTCCTATATGTGTACCCTTATATCAAGATAAAACCCTGTGTGTATATAGTTTCCTTAATTTGTAAAACTGTGGGTTTTTTTTTTTAAAACTTTCCACTTCAGTGATTTTCTACCACTACCTCACCAGCTCAAACATCAGGAGTGGTGTTCATGAGTGCTGTGGTATTTCAAAATAAATTTATGTTCATTTTTCTAACTACCATTACAGAGCAGTTGACTGCTTTTAAACTCTTACTTTTCACTTTTGTAAACTATTTCTATAAGAAACTACGTTGCAAATTAATTGCTTATTAGAACTGCTGGCTTAAAGTTTCCATGTTGCACTCATCCCAGCTCTCAGCAGTTTTGGCAAGGAAAAGTTCTGTTCTGTCGCATGCCTGCAAGATGCCACCAATTGTAACATTAATTTATTGTCTTCCATCATGTCTTGGCAAGAATTGTAATAAAGTTATATCTTTGATTTTATGAGGCATAATTTGCTGCCTCATCTTACTAATCTCTCTTTCTTCAATGACAAGATTTTTCTTTAAAGCCTCCATTATACTGATCACACCCTTAAGTTTTTTTTTGCCAGAAAATGGTTTGATTTCTGTCAGGGACCTCTGAGACCGTGAGATGCCATGCATCTTGAATTTGTTAGTGTTTTGGTGGGAAATCTCATCAAGGTTTACTCACCAAAATAATTAAGGCAGTATTGTTAAGTGCATCGATCATATATAAAAGAATAAAAAATGGAAAAAAATAAAAAAAAGAATGAAAATGTCTTTTAAAACAGATCATTTTGTGCCTAACGATCCAAGATATGATTTTTCTCCATGTTTCTGTGACGATACATTCAAGTCATTCAAACTCATTTAACTACCTTTTGGCTTCTTCAGTGTCTGTGCAGAGTGATTTAAATTAAAAACAAAACAAAAAATACTTTCCTTTGTAGAAGAGTTAAGTAGATTTGATCAGATTATCCTAGAAACTCTGAATTAATGAACTGTTTTCATTAGAACCAAAGAAATAATTTCATCAGTTCTTGTTGTGATGGTGTAAAGCTACCTGAACCATAGTGGTGAATAAACAAACACAGCCATGAGAAACACTGAATTAGACAATCAACAGATACTCAGTGCAGTTTAACCAACAGTTTTTACTGCAAGTACAAAGTCTTTTGAAATTAACAATGACCATTCCAAAATGTAGAAAACCATCAGCTAACTAATACATACTAATTTGGCAGTAGTGTCTACTGTTAGATGTGTCTTGTTGGTGTATTAAGACTAGTCTTCGTCTGGTCATGGACTAGTCTTATGTTTATCGTTTGTGTTTATTTTGGTCCCCTTTGAGCTGCACTGAGTTTTAACTAACTTTCCTAAGTTTAAACATAATACCTGTAATCTATACACACATTTTCTCTATTCCATTATCAAGAACAAATTTAACCACCCCTCTTTTTCTATCAAATCTGTAGAGCTGAGGAGTTTGGTTTAACTTTGACTGTTAACAGCTGACCTGCTATTTCCCTTCTTGCCACCTTAAATCCCCCGTTCTCTTCCCCTTTGTGGAATTTTGAATGTTAAGAATCTGAATGGTGTTTTTATCAAATGAAGTTATTGAAATTATACATGTTAATGGCTTCTACAAGTTGCAGTTTTTTGTTCTCATAAGCTTGATAATTCAGATAAGACAATTGAAAAGTCATTGCAAACATCTCAAAAATTTTTGTTACAGACATTCTTCATTCAAAGCTCTACAAAGATTGATACAACTTACCATAATATGTACTAGCTATAATGCATAAGTAATTTTACATTTTGTAAGTTTCAAGCTGTCTTTCAAACACGGTATCATTTCCATCCTTGTAAAAAGTCAGTTGATGTGCAAACTTTCACACCTGGAATATTTAATTATTGAAGATAGATATTGGTTAACTTCATGCATCATCACCTCTTAGTGGAGTGTTTCTTCAATGGCTTTGTTCACTGTTTATCCAGGTTATTGTCAATTAGGTATTAGAGCTTGACAAAACAGTCTGAGAATTACTTCCTACAAATGAAATACTCCTATATGCTTCTTAGATAATAGTCCCTCCATTGCATTTTGGTGCTGAGGTTAATTCATTAGACTTTGTTAATCTCAGGGATTTGGGGGTTTTGTTGCCATGGAATTTTTGAAGTACTCATAGAAAAATACAATTAGATATGCAACAACAAAATTCAATTTGAATACCACAAGGAGGAATATTTATGAATCAAAATGTTATAATATTTGCATGATAATAGTAATCTTTAAAACTTGTTGCATCAGTTAATCTCAGGCTGCTACATGACTGTATTTTCTGTAAAGGAAGTTAAATTTTCAATCTGAAGAAACCCAGTTATTCATAATGGAAACTTTTGAAGAAGATGTTGTCTACAAGAATCCAGGTTTTGTTATGAAAACATTAATTTAATTGTTATTTTGACATTCAAAGACTACATACTTAAACGTTTGAGAATTTTTTGTCACAAACTTATTAACTAATGTCGTGTTATTTTATTTTTATATCCATCCCCTGTGGTCTCAAACAGTATACGCCAAATCAAATCATTCTCACTGCTTCTGTGTACCTGAGAAATTTATCAACTAAGTCAAACCATAGTTAGGAATAATTGGAGTCTAGAATTAGCATGAATGAATGTGAAAGGACGTGTTTGTTATCCATGAAGAGAGAGTGTGATAAGCAGGGGAGGGGAGGGGGGAGTATTTTAAGAAATGAAAACCCAGGAGGCTCCTGTGCATTCATTTGATGAAATTACAGGAAACAGCATTTATATATTTTAAATGACTGTATGTTAAAATGGAATTCAGGTTGAAATAATGTAAATCCAGGTTGTTTGATAAAATTTCTTATTAATTTTTGCCTTGTCTAACAAGTTTGATCTTTTGTCTCTCGCAACGAAACCTTTGATAAAGATATTTATTATTATTATTATAAATATCATAACAATTTTGATTGTTATCATTATTAGTTTAGTTATAATTGTATTTTTATTATTTTTTAATTGACATAAAAAATTAAAGATCATGATATAACTGACTACCTAATTGTGAATGGCACAAATAGTCTAATACAGTGATCAATGATATTTGTAAGTTGTAATATGTACTGTACATGTAAGGAGATCAAATTCAACTTTTAATTAAGGCATAAAATAGAGATGATTGTAACTTTTTTTTTTTTAATTCCAGATACTTGCTATCCAGGATATAATCCACGTTTTGTTAATGCACCAACTGTTATCACCTTGGTTGGTTTGCCAGCAAGGGGCAAAACATATATGGCCAAAAAACTGGGTCGTTATCTCAACTGGATCGGCATCAAAACAAAAGGCAAGGCTCTTTGACTACAGAAATAAAAATACATGAAATTGTATAATTTTATTAATGGTATCAAGCAGGGCTGTGGCTACCTCAGTAAGTGCTGGCTGCTGGTGAAATTTGCCGCATGAAAAAGCGGCTGGATCTTTGGCCCGCATTTGTTTGGTAAAACATAACAGGTACTTCTAAGGTTGCACTGACTTACAATCCTTTGCCATCTTTGAGCATCCTCACTTAAAATTTTAGCTGGCAGCATAATTCTCTGCCATGACCCTGATCATTAGTCCCTCCAAAACCTTCTATGCTGTTTATGAATCAGATTTTTAATTCTGTCTCAGTCTTTTCTATTACATGTATCAACAAGTTGAACTATGTGAAAAATAAGGATATAGAACAGAGTGGACTTTTAAGCAAATGTCTGCAGGGATTTTTGTACCTCTTAAGTTAGCCACCAAAAGCCATTCATTGTTTTGGTGAACTGCTTTTAATTCTTTCATTAAATATGTAAGCCAATCTGAAAATGTGGGTCATAAGATGTTTAATTGTGGATCACATGCCGAACCCCAAATGTGAGTCTCTCTCTTCCCACAAGCTGTATTTGCTAAAAGGGATTTACATGACCCAAAATGAAATGTAAAAATGCACTGTAACAGTACTGTATATTATACAGTCAGCTGTCTTTGAATAGGATTTCTGCTTAAATTAATTTTTAATTATTAGTTTTGTCTGGGAGAATATATCCTTATCATTTGAAACTGGGTACCTTCACTTGTTGAAAACACTAGGTGCAAGTAGCAAGGAGTTAGGTACAGTACAATATGGTGGTCAT